AAACTTTGCAATGTGATATTACCTGATGGTCCATGGGTACATGGCATGGGATGAACACGCCAGCGGCGGGCCCAGGTGGCTTGCAACATGCACGACTTGCGTCTCTGATGACGGGTCTGACTCAGATGCAAGGAGTGAGTATCTGAGACTGCCAACCACCACCGTCGGTGGCTTTTCGCTGCAGGAAGCCCAAAAAGCCAAACTGGGGCGTTTTAATCGAGGACTTGGCGGCTCAAGACGTGATATAGTTTTACGAGGTAACGCCGTTCGTTCAGCAGAACAGCAATCCGAAGAGACACGAGTGGCATGCAAATATGAGGAAAGGAAGGGAAGCACCCCTCCTCCAAAGAAAAATAAGCAAAATAAGGAAAAAAGACACCATCATAAATCAGAAATTCGCCCACCATGTTGGCGGAAGATATAAAAAACCCAAGAGGCGGTGATGCCCAGGAGGCACGACATCTGAGACATGGCATTGCTTCTTTTTTTACTCTCCCGCGTCGCACATGACATGTTCTGCAGGAAGAGGAGGCTGTCAGTCATCGCCGGAGGGGCCAAAGACGGTGTTTGAGAGCCAGCCACGCAGAGGAGTGCGACGCCCAGAGGTGCTGCCGCCCAGTTCTCGTTGATTTTCATGTCTTTATATCGATATGAAACTGCAGGGCGGTGATGAGCAAGTTCTGGAACATGGTCAGGACGGCCAGAGGGGGGTGTTGCTGCAGATGCCCAAGGCGGGCGGGAGTCTGGAACGGGTGATCAGCAAAGCCGACATGTTGTTTCCCGCGAGGCCAATCGTCTTGATGAAGGGGCCGCATCAGCTGCAATAGGGAGCCGTCCAAGCTATATTCGGCTGCGAATCGAATCGGATGTCGAGGATGGGCTGTGGACGGAAGCTCCGGGATCTCTAGCTGTCCATCTCATTTGGTGATGTTGGTTTCGGGAAGACGCAACAGCAGGCAGTATTGGATCACCGCCGACTTGTCTTGGGGTCCCGTAATGCTGCTACTGACAAAAGGGAGATGCCACTCTGTGGAAGCAAAGGCTAATGCTCCTGACCCATTGCTACTAACACGCCACTGCTGACGGATGTTTCTGGATGGCGACACGGCATCCGCTATCTGCCATAAGGTAATATGTATGCCGTATGGGCTGGTACTATCTGCATGCCCGGCTGATGCGCTGGAGATCCCTTTCCCAATGGCAAGTCACCCACGAGATACATTAGAAGCAGACGGCAGCTAAGACAACATGGCAGATTGGCGGCTACAACTTCCGAGTTAGATATCCAACCCTTTCTTGAACCAATAGCAGGGTGGTAGGCAGCAACAGTAGCGGCAGCAGTGGCAGCGGCACGTCGACCCGTTCGGCGTCGTTCTAGCCCGGCCGAGACCCAATCTATATCCTATACTTTCCACCGTTGGTCTCGTTGAGAGAAAGCGACACAGCTCTTGAGCACACGAGCAATGACTCGAGGAGGCCAGCGCCATCAAAGTGAGCCAATACGGAAGCCCTTCCCCGAAGCTGCGCGCCAAGTCCACGTTCGGAGCTCCAGGTTACGACTCATATTGCCATCTAACCGTGAGGATAGACTCACTCGCATTCTGAGCACCGATGCAGCATGGGCCAGCAAGCTCACCGAGGTCACATTTCGTCAACCATGTCGCACAGCGCACGGAACGATGCACGGCGGCTTACACGCAGAGAAGCTCAACCCGACGACGCCGTCATCGACGAGGAGATAGACCCACGCTCACGGTCTCGGAAGAGCGTTGGCTCGTGGCTCGTCCTCTCCCACCCACCTCATCCTTGCCCCGCTGATACCCGCGTCTTGCTCCCAATGGACTGGTAGACGGGATTTCTCTCGCTGCTGGAGCTCAAGCCGAGGGGCTGCTGTAAGTCGCCGAAGCCCGAGATCTGTCCCCCTCTCTCACCCTCTGTAGCACTCTGGATGCGAATGCGGAGTGAGGACGTGGCCCAAGCAAGACGTCACACAAGCAGGGAGGCGTTTGCGCGTGTACTTTTTCGGGAGCACAAACAGTCCAGTCACCGAATCACACGAAACCCTGCAGCATGTGGTGCTTACGCCCTCACATCTTTCGTTAAAAACGAAAAAGACGGCTTGCTCAGGGCTTGTGGGAGGGAGAAAGGGGGGGAAAGCGTCTCCCGTGGAATAGCAGAGCGTGAGCGCGAGGGTGGCGCGTTGTGATACACGGCACAAGTCGAGGTCGGGTTTCCACGCGCGCCCGCCCGTTGTGTTCTGATCCTGATCCCTCCCCGCCCGCATCCGGCTAGCTGCGCCGAGAGAAAGGGGAAAGGTTGTCGATGTCGAGTGGGTTCCCGCGGCACGGTAGCCTAGTACCGGCCGGGGGTGGGCGTCGTGGTCGGTCGTGGCCCGGCTTCTGGGAGCTTGGGTGTGTGCGCGAGTGTCGTTTCATCAGACCTGCATGAGAGAGGACAATAGCGGTGAAGGAGGTCGGTGTATTACATGCTTGTCCGGGGTGTTTATTGGAAGAATGGGGGGTCCCGCTTTCTGGCTTGCTCTCTTATCGCACCGGGCAAATCAGCTCCCAAGAGACAGCGATAGACAGAGGGAAAATGAAAGGGGAGAAGCCCAACAAGAATCACCCAAACCACCCCTGGAAAACTCTCGCACGCTCCAAGACGCGGAATGAGAAAGAGTTGAGCGTATCATGATGTGACTGACTGTACCATGAGTGGAACTCGGGAATTCGAAACGCTATCCGGGGAGACAATGAATGGACGTCTTGTGACTTTCCGTCGCTCAACATGTCTCGATGGCTGTACAACCACGATCCAGCCGAATGAGAGTACACCACATGGACGCCACTTGGGGAGGGAATGCCTCTCGCCCACTTCCATCACGCCCTCGGTGTAGAGGCGCTGTTATGCAAGGCCGGGAAGGATGGAGGTAGGGGCGTTTGCTTCTTCGCTTGGCAAAGGCCTTCCGCGGAAGAATTCACTGTGGCAGGGAAGCAAGTTTATATTCCCTGCTTTGAATCGGTGAGCCAGACCGACAGTTGTGTGTGGACTTTCACTCGAGGGGTCTCCGACACAGCAGCGAAAGCGGACGCAACTCTACGACTCGCCAGCCAGCCAACGTCCATCCAAGCCTCCGGGAACACCAGCCGGTTGGAAGAAACACGAGAAAAAGGATAATGAAAGCGCTTTACCCAAAGAAGCGTCCCGACGAGGTGCAAATCCCAAGCCCCCGGTCCTAGACTAGGATTTTGGTTCGATGATGGCGGTCCAGCGTGACCGTTAATGATCTGCTCGGCCTCGCATGGTTGGGTGATACAACGCCCGGCTCGGCTAGGCGCACCCGGTCGAAGGCTCAACTGCCTCATTCCTCGACCAATCCGCGAGGAAGTCTTCTTTTCTTCTCTGCAGGCCAAGCCCCCTGGCCGAGAGAGACGGGAAATGGGTGGGCCCTGTCACACACTCTCGGGAAGCGATTATCGCTGCGGGAAGGCCCGGTTCGTGAGGATGGCGAGATAGTGTTTGTGGTGAGCTAGCCCGTGAGGTTTGACCTAGTCCTATGCGCGGTGCGGTCATGATTTTTCGGGGACGGGCCGGAGGAGGTCGGCCGCTTGGGTGGCCCTGATGGAGACTGCGACATCCCCGGCCGCCCGCCTCGCCGCGGTGAGGCGGGGCCCTTTCCCTTCAGGACTAATGGGCAACTGCACTAGCAACCACCATGCTTTCGCGGTGCATGTCGAAGGCGGTATACAAGCGAGGTACTTATTGTGAGAGTACCTTGAAACCTACAAGGGGCCAGATCCTTCTCGAGTGTAAACAGTACCCGCAAGACGAAATTGAAGCTAGTTGTCCCAGGGTTGAGGATGGTAGGACGGGGCCTCCTTCACCGACCCGCGGGCGAGATATGAGCTGTCATCGGGATGCTTGGTCAAATGCTCCGATGGTGGTACTATAGTTCGGCGCTCGGAATAAGCTGGACGATACTGAGAACTGATGTGAGGACAAAGCAACAGAATATCATCGGCATAGAACAGATAGCGTATCCTAATGAATTGTAAGGATGTGGAAGGCCCGAAGCCGTGGTTGAGGCTTATAAACGAGCGCCGTGAACCACTCTTCAATATTCGCAGAGAGAAAGAACGCGGCCACTTCAGTTCAATATGCGGGCAAGAGAATGGCTGATCTCGATGACTAGAGAGGTTCGGACGAATGGTTCTCGGCGGGAGACCCATCAGGTTACTTTAGCTGGAGGTTCGATGGTTGGAGCAGGCCAAGTTTGGTTGTCAGGCTGGAAATCTTAAGAAACCGCCCGCTGTTTCCTGTGTTCTGGAAAATACTTAGGTAAGTAGGCAAAAAGTGGGCCATTGATCTTGGTGAGGTGTGGAGGGGCTTGAGGGGGAACACCAACGCTGTGACGGCCGACTTCAGTGGCTCAGAGTTGAGGGAGTGTTGCAAAATCCCAGGCCGGCCCCACGTGCCCGCCGCTTGCCAGAACCAGAAACCCCTGCATCGCTTCAGCCTTGCGCGCGCGCCTGTGAAAGCACCCGTTAGCTTCAGGTGCGCTGAAGCTTCCCCAGAAAGACGGCCCCAAAAAGTCAGCCTTGCCACCAGAAACCACGACCGACCTCGAACGAGAACACCCAATTAACGCCGATATTTGCCCCTTCGACGAGATAATTTACACACAAGTTCAAAACCCGTGACACAGGTACGTTATGGGTTGCTTGGTATGTCTACACACCGCTGACAAGGGACTCGAAGCCTTCCAACTCTGAACCGTCCACCCAAGCTCGCGCGCAACTATTCGCACTTACGCTCATCGATCCCCTCGGACGGCTGAACGAAAGGGACCTCTTTGACGAAACCCTCCGAAAGAAGCCGGTATAGGTCAGGGGGGGAAGGCCTGTCGGACGATCGCTTCACCTGAGGATACACAAGAGCCTGGCCTAGGCGCGTTTCGAGGTCGCTGCTACACATACACCTCCATTCCCAGATCCATCAACATGTCGAACCAAACGCCTTCAACCCCAGTCAAGGTACCGCCCTCGGCTGCGAACCACTCAGCAGCAACTCTGGATCCCGAGCTGCGGTCGCAAATCAACACATTACTATTGAAGGACGGCCACGTCACAAAGTAGGCGCTCCCCTCCTTCCCCCCTCTCCAGAGGCCCGAACTGAACGAGCTAACATTGCCTCTTTCAGAATCCAAGAACAGCTCCTCCACTCCCTCCACGCAAACCAAGCAAACTGGCCGACCCTGATCCAGAACCACGCCCTCAACCTCCTGCGCACGGGCGAGGTCACAACCTTCCCAGAACTCCTCCGCCGTGTCCTCGACGACGTCCGCCAGGACACCCTCAACCCCTCGGCAGCGAACGCATCCCCCTCAACATCCAAAACGAATGGCACGACGGGTGCAGACAAGGACAAGAAGACCAACGGTACTGCGAACTCCACACCGGCGGCAGATTCCAACGGCCAGCCGAACCTTGCCATCCCCGCGGCTGTGATCGATGAAGCTATCAAGGTCACGCAAGAGAGTTTAGAGGCTGTCTGCGAGATTGACAGTGCGGGTAACTGAGGGGACGTCTCCTTTTGACGGCTGGTGAGTCGAGAAGATAGAGAGAGAGAGGGAAACTGTTGGGCATTGGAAAGGGGGCGGCCCTAGAGATGAGATGGCCACTGGCCATTTCCTGAACGGCCCCAAAGAAAACTTCACCACCACTCACGCAGTGAGTGAGGAATAAGGGCATGGTTGTGTTGGGAAGGCAAAGCCATCCTTGATGAGAAAAGCCTTTATGTCAACCTTGAATAGTGCCATCAGCACCACATATGTGTACGTATACGTTTGGATCAATTACGTCGGGGGCGGCCTTCCTGTGGCTTGGGAAGAGCATACGATATCAAGCTTCTAGAAAAAAGATCCGCTATGAGCAATGAGCACTTCACGGGCCTAGAGAGCGCACATAGTAATCTTCATTTCCTTGCTTTTCAAATCAGTTGGTGATGCTTGTGTATCTGTTAGATTCGATTGCACGAAGACAATATTTCTCAATCAAGAGTGTTGATATGGGAATGACAGTACAAGCGGGTACAGGCAACGGTCGTTGCGTAACCAAGGGTAGTTGGAGCATGCACCGATCGAGATGACTTTATGTGATCAACTTTGATAGAAAACTACCTGTCTACCAACTCCGTCCGCCCCCAGATTTCCGCCGATAAGCACGAATTTCTGTGACTCGGCCCATCAACTGTACGCGTGATGGCGCAGATGTATCGGAGAGCAAATGAAAAACTAGAATACAACGAGGGCATGGCCTGCATTAAGTGGCATCTAGCCCACCCTTTAGTCGTAAAGGTCATCATCGTTACCAGCATCACCGAAGCTGTTGGCAGCTTCGTTGGCCGCACCTTCACCCTCGGGGAACTTGAAGTACGCGCCAGGGCCAGCATTCTTCATCTGCTGAGCAAAGGCCTCGTACCGGCGGATTTCAACGTCGCTAACGGAGCGGCGGGCCATCTGCATGGCCTCCTCGAAGTGACGCTTGGTGAGCTCAGGGACGGGGTCCTCCTCATCCTCATCCATAGCCTCCTCGCCAGCAGCTTCGCGAGCCTTGGTCTTCTGGATGTCGGCAGTGATAGCCTCCTTGATGGCAAGCTTGACAGCACGCTGAGTGATGAAGCCAAGATCGGCACCAGAGAAGCCGTGAGTCTTGGAGGCGATAAAGTCGATATCGACGTCAGCGGCAACGGGTGTCTTGCGGAGCTGGGCCTTGAGAATGCCAGCACGGGCGGGCTGGTCGGGCAGGGGGACGTAGATGAGAGAGTCAAGGCGTCCAGGACGGCACAAGGCAGGGTCAAGCTGCTCCGGCCTGTTGGTCGCACCAATAACGAAGACGTTCTTCTTTGAGGTCATACCGTCCATCTCTGTAAATGGGTTAGTCTATGCTTGCCAGTCGTCTGAGATGCGGAGGAAACCTACCAGTGAGAAGCTGGTTGACTACACGGTCGGAAGCACCACCAGCGTCGCCCATAGATCCACCACGAGCCTTGGCAATAGAGTCCAACTCATCGAGGAAGACAATGCAAGGGGCGGCGGCACGGGCCTTGTCGAAGATGTCACGAATGTTGCTCTCAGACTCACCGAACCACATGCTGAGAAGTTCGGGTCCCTTGACGGAGATGAAGTTGGCGGAGCACTCGTTGGCGACGGCCTTGGCCAACATCGTCTTACCGGTACCGGGGGGTCCGTAGAATAAGACACCACGGGACGGGGAAAGACCGAACTTAAGGAACTTCTCGGGGTGGTCGACAGGGTACTGGACGCTCTCCTGCAGCTCGGCCTTGACGGTCTCGAGACCACCGATATCCTCCCAGCGAACGTTGGGCACCTCGACAACAGCGACCTCACGCAGAGCAGAGGGGTTGGAAACGCCAAGGGCGAAGCGGAAGTTCTCCATGGTAACACCAAGAGAGTCAAGAACCTCGGCGTCAATGGTGTCCTCGTCGAGGTCGATGAGGTCCATCTTCTCACGAATCTGCTGCATGGCGGCCTCGGAACAGAGGGCAGCGATATCGGAACCAACGTAACCGTGGGTTTCGGCAGCGATCTGCTCCAGGTCGACATCGTCACCAAGCTTCATGTTCTTGGTGTGGATCTGGAGAACCTCGAGACGGCCGGTAGGGTCGGGGATGCCAATGTCGACCTCACGGTCGAAACGGCCGAAACGGCGCAGGGCAGGGTCGATCGAGTTGGGTCGGTTGGTGGCGGCCATGACAACAACGTTGGAGCGAGCCTTCATGCCGTCCATGAGGGTGAGAAGCTGAGAGACGACACGACGCTCGACCTCACCGTTGGTCTTATCACGCTTGGGCGCGATAGAGTCGATCTCGTCAATGAAGATAATGGCAGGGGAGTTCTTCTCAGCCTCCTCGAAGGCCTTGCGCAAGTTCGACTCGGACTCACCGGCCATCTTAGACATAATCTCGGGGCCGTTGATCAAGAAGAAGAAAGCACCGGTCTCGTTGGCGACAGCTCTTGCCATCAACGTCTTACCAGTACCGGGAGGGCCATACAGAAGCACACCACGAGGGGGCTTGATACCGATAGACTTGAAGAGCTGGGGGTGACGCAGAGGGAGCTCAACCATCTCACGGATCTGAGCCATTTGCTTTCTGCAGCCACCAATGTCGTCGTAGCCGACCTCGTTCAAATTGCCCTCCTCCTCGTCACGCTGGATGGGCTCACCCTCGCAGTGAATGACGGTATCTTGTGCGACGATGCCATATTCGGGGGGGTCGACCTCGACGACCTTGAACTCTACTTGCCTCATACCACCGCGAACGATGAAGAGATCGCCCTGGCGGACGGGTCTGTAGGCCTCGCGGAAGTAGGGAGCGAGGAAAACGTCGAAAAGGGAGCCGGTGATGCCCTCGACGGTGTCGGCGATGGGGAGGACAGCAATGCGCTTGGCCTGTGGGGGTGTAAGCAATCAATTCCAAGTGCGATGCATGTTTGCGATTTCACATACGTATTTGATGTCCGGGCAGGGGTGAATGGTGATCATGTCACCGTGCTTCACCCGCAGGTTGTGGCGAACAACTCTGTTGATGCGAGCACTGCCATCGTCGAGCTCATCGTCAGCAAGGACGATCAGGACGGTGTCCTTTCTCTTCTTGCCGCGCACAAGCACGGTGTCACCGCGGAAGAGCTGAAGAGCCTCCATGGTGTTCTCGGAAAGGGCAATGATGGAGTTGTCATCGTTGACGGCATCGGTAACCCTGCTTCAGTTAGTGCCAGGAAGCTTGCCCCACGTTGTCCAAAGCTCACGTACATCAGCTGGTTGGGCTTCTTCTTCTTCTTCAGGATGGCGGTCGCGATGTCATCTTGCTGTATGTTTGGTCAGTACGGCCATCATTCATCACCAAGTTCGTAGAAGCTGGGAGCACAAACATCCTTGACATCGGCACCGGAAGCGTCCCTGGTAGGTAGTGTCAGCGTCATTCCTTCTGAATGGGAGCTACTGCTCGATGTAAGAGCAACGGGTGTCTACTCACGTCAAGTTGACCTTCTTCTTGTGCTCGGCGGGCTGTTCCGACGGAGGCGCCATCTTGATTGTCTGTTTCTGATGATTCGGGGGATTCGTATGCGGTCGGATGATGAGGTATTGAAGGTGGGATCGTCAGCGGTGGGGTTGAGCTGTCGATTTGGATGTTTCCGTAAGGTGAGGAACACGGAAAAGAGGGACAGCGTAATTTGTATCCCTTCCTTTGAGATGTGAATGGGGAAAGGAAAGAGAGGATTTCGTGGTTTACGGAGATAAAAGGTGGGAGGTTTGGAGATGGGAAGCTTTGTTTCGGAGAACAAGCAGGTGCGGTGCAGTAAAGGCCAGCCAGCAAGAGGTGGTGACGGGAGGCGGCAATCACTGGAAAGCGGTCCCTGGACGACCAATGAAATCATACAGTGGGGCGGATTAAGTGGTCTCCGGCGGCATCGGGTAGCTTAGGTAAGGCGACGCTCCAGGGGTCGAGTATGGCCCAAGCTCTATGATTCAGGCGTCGTCAGGGCAGTGGAAAGTGTTCGAAGCTTCCACTTGGTCAGGTTGCTGACCTTGAGGGCCTGGTAGGCAGCCTTTGGCCACGCACTCTCTCAGCAAGTTGGTGTCGCACGCACGTCCTCCACCTAATCCACCTGGCCCCAAGCTACCTTACCTCACCAACACTGCTTTTCGGTACTTTGCCTTATCGCCTTTTTGCATTAGTGAGCTTTGTCGATATGGAGATTCCGGCGCACACCTTTGGCTCACCGAGATCACCTCACCGTACTATGGCTTCTGCGTCTCTCTCCACTCTCTCATGCTTTGCCAAGTCTCGCCGCCTGAGGTGGTCCTAAGTATGCTGGCTGGCTAGCTGTGTTTGGATTGCACTTTGCCTAGAATGCACGAGATGCCCTTTTAGCGCTTCGGCAACTAGAGACACGGACGGAACGAGCGAGCAACTTTCTTTGTCATTGTGCAACAAATCGTCCAAAGGAGCGGCGAATCCGACATCTGGTTCAGGCACTCAACACTCAGCTCTGCCGCCCCCAGTATTTGCCATCCCGGCACGCCCCTCATTAGCGAAACAGGCGATGCATGCAGCGGCAAAAGGATGACGGCTGGAATTCCTGCCTGCTGCAAGCAAACGGACCTTTCCCTCCTCAAAACACACATCCACTTTTCCCAGGCTCCCCTGGGGACGAGTCATCCGGCGGCCGTCTTCCCTCCGAACGACCCTCTGGCGCCACCTCCAATCAAACAGCAAAGGTACGGTTGTTCATCGCCTCCTGCTTGGAAAGCGGCCACGTCGCCACCTTCTGCCGCCACCCGAGGTATCTGGGGCTGCCGGCCGAGTGGTCGAACACCGGGACCGCGACCCCGGGCTGCATGGTCGGGACGAGGTTGATGTGGTGCTCCAGTAGTCTGAGCCCGAGGATGCCGACCCCGGAGCGGGGGCTGCCGGCCGCGATCCGCCCATAGCGGTCATTGGTATGCAGGAACGCCTCATACAACCACGAGAGCGCCAAGGGGTTGTTATCGCGGCGAGCTAGGCTGTGGTCGTGGCTTGACGCGTCGGGTCGTCTGCATTTATCGTTAGCATTGCACTTTACACCCGGGTCGGGCGTGCTGGGTAAGGCCGGAGCGAACGGTTGGGCTTACCCGTTGGCCAGGCCCGCGGCGTTGGAGCCAATCTCCACAACATCGGATTCGAAGCTCATTTGAAATGGATTTCCGGCGGTCTCTTCGATGTCACGGAATGGACCGAGTTGCCGGCGTCCAGTGAAAGCGACTCCGGCTTTTCGTTTGGTGGTTCTTGAGGAGGGAGAATTTGTTCACAGTTGCGGCTCTTGTATACTTGGGTACGCTCAACGATGAGGATCCGGTGCCACGGCCACGCTAAATGCTTTCTTGTAAAGCGCGCGGGCGATGGTCTTCTTATACCATGGCATCTGGAGCACAAACCGGCGCCCTCCCGTCGGCCTCCCGTTTGGCTCTCTTCACCATCCCAGATATTCGGTGCCGGCTGCTCAAGATATGGCAGGTTGCTGCAAGACACATGCAGCCCAACCAGGCTGCTGCAGATTTGGGGGCTATTTGCTGTGCAATGCTAAGCATGATGTAGCATGTGGCACACTTCACACCAGCAACCAGAAGGGGAGCTAGCCTGATCTTGTTGAGAAGCTTGTCGGTCATGTCTATTCCTTGCTCGACCTACAAACATTGTCCCTTCAATGCCCCTCTCTATGATCGATTCAACTTGCCAACTTAACAATTGGTACCATCATCTACTTGTGCATATCGTTTTCCATGCATGAAATGCCCTACAAGTTTATCCCATAATAGTTCAACTTTCAACAGCGACGAAACCCTTCCAGATCGCCTCCAATCTCGAAATTTGAGGCCCGATCTGGAAACGTAGAACTAGGGTACATAGCACAACGACGGGGTGGGTGTGACCAACCACCAGGCTGGCTTCCCTCTCAGCCTCAACCGTGACCCGACTTCCCCTCCCAGGCAGACTCCCAAAGCTCCGTCGGAATGTTACACACGCGCTCAGAATCTTGGGGCCCAGACTATATCGTTCCACACAGCCCCTCGCTCTATTCAAGCCCGCCTGGAAGCTCCGCCCTCCGTGACGGCTATCAATCTGCTGGCAATTCAACTCTTGCGGGCTGTCGATCATCGACATGTGCCTTTGTAAAGCTCGAGAGATTGGGTGTGGCTCCTGGGTTGGACAGGCAGTGTGACTGAAACCCACTCCCATTCTGCCAGCTTTTGATCTTGAGAAGCCCTACCCGCAAGGAAACACTCGATGACCCCGCTATCAAAAGAAGTCCCAACAACGTAATATCCTACTACAACTTTCTACCATTGACATGCGTGAAAGGAGGCGGGAACCTCACAGCCTGTTATACCCACGGTGCTTTTGATAAGCCCTCCCTTCCCTCCATTACCCCCGTCTGGTCGAAGCTCGCTTGGGCAAACACTGCCTAGCTGCTCGGCCGTCAGCACTAACAACACAAACTATCGATGCTATGCTGCAAGTTCCGGCCCCCAAACGCTACGTTACCGTCTCCGCGATCTCTTGTCTTGCCCAGCGCCTGGCCCGAAGGATCGGGGGTGTGGACGGACTGCAAGGGCTTCCGGCTGCCTCTCCTGTTCTCCGGCAACGCGGGCCTTCAAGCGACGGTAACGACATGGATAAAAGATCCTGGCCTGCACTCGGTTTTATCAGTACATGCATCCTCACAGACCATAGGCCAGAAGACATCGAGACATTGCGGTAATGTAGAAGACCGGGTCATGCTCGGTGATAGATGCTGTGGCTAAGATATCATACAAGATCATGATCGCCATCCCCGGATGCGAAGATGGATGGCTAAGCGTAACTCCTGTTCCCCAGATGCTGTTCTCCAACCGTTGAGCGATAAAAGAACGCCCGAATGATGCAGTAGAAATGAAGATTCGCTTTTCTCTTTTCGTCCGTTTCCCAAACCAACTCCATTTTTGTTCCTTTTCTTTTCTCCGCTTCCTCGTTTCCACCATGGTATAAGTCTCTTAGTCCTGCGAGAGTGCCGGTTGAAACCGCATCTGCAGAACCCATTTATCATCAAAATCGATACCTCTCCTAATCTTGGTGCCAGCCTTCTTCCACACCGTAGCACCAAGACCCATGTCGGCGATAAATAACTTCCAGTCTTCTTCCTCAGCAGCAGCGGCAGCGGCCCCAGCAGGGTCTGAGTCCGAGATAGGAGCCATTGCTTCGAGTAGTCCCTTCTTTGGCGCACCCATCGCCACCACGTAACGGGGCTTTACGTAGAGACGACCGCCATCAATGATACTAACCTTACCAGTCGACGGGTCGATACCAGTTGGTACAT